TACTCTGCCATAAAGAAAGATAAACTTGAGTCATTTGTAGGAAAATGGATACACCTGGAGAGCATAATGTTAAGTAAAATTAATCAGACACACAGACTTAAATCTTGCATAGTTTCTCTTATTTGAGAAACTCAAAATATAAATAAAGGGTAAAATAAAATTTAGAAAATAGGCAATTAGAAGATAGACCTTTTGCAAAAGGGAAATGGACCAAAAGATGGAAGGAGGAGGGAGAGAAGGGAGGGGAAGGGATGAAAGAAGAATTAAGATGTGTTTTGTACATGTACCAGCCACAAGGAGTGTAATTATTACGTACTGCCAACATGTGCTAATAAAAAAATAAAAATTGAAGGGGGAGGGGTGCTCCTCCCCTGCTTCACTCATGTGGGGTGGGGATTCTCCACTATGAAGGTGAGCAGTGACTCAGGGGGAAGTCATGCCTCCCACACTCACCCCAGGGACCAGTCATTTTCAGAGGAAACAGCTGGCAGACCACCCACTGTCACAGCCAGCAGCCTGGACCTGAAATGGGTGCCTCCTGCTGACTTTATTCCATTTAAGGGTGGCAGTCAGAGCCCCAGCAAAGAAAATTTTTCCCAAGAATGAGTTCTGCAGAAATAGAGAGAGGCAGCTCCTGGCAGCCACCCCAGGCGGACACCAAATTTAGCCCAAAGATTGAATATAAGTATATTTTTAATTTTTAAATTTTAAAAATAACATGATAGCATTAAAATAGTTCATAAAACAAAGAGAATTAGAGCATCCCCAGAGATCTATCAAACAGACACAACTGCTTTCATTTTTGTTTGTTCCTTGCAAGTCTTTGTTCTTATAAACATCTATTTTTATACATCATAATCATAGTGTACATATGATTTTTAATCTTCTTTTACTTAAGAATATATGATATGCACTTAAGAGAGGCATAATAGAGGTGGAGAGAAGGGCTGGCTTTACTACTTGTTGTTCAAGTTGCTAAATATTTCTTGAGTCTCATTTTCCTCATCTGTAAAACAAGGTCAAATGACCTAATTAGATTTGTAAAGATGAAGTGATAAATCATAAAATCTCTTAGCCCAGTGCCTAGGAAATAGTAAACACACAACAGTTCTAAGTTTGTTTCATTATCATTACTAAAATAAGGAATTTTTATAATTGACTTTTCCTAGGCATTTACATCCTATACAGGTTTTTATATTGGTTTCTGAATCTGTAATTTTAAATCAAACATTTGTAATCTTAAACCACTCCAGGTTATATTTCATCCTATTTTAAGAAAAACCCCAGGAAGGCATAAAATACCTTTCCTCCCTGTCCTGAGCCCCCCCAACCCACCTCCCCCAGCACCTGCTGAACTGCAGCTGATGCCAGAGGGGATTTTAGCCTTGGCTGGGATGCAGGGCTTAGGGCAATGAAAACTCCTGAAAGACTTAATGCATGGTTCTTTTACTCTGAGAAAACATTTGAGTGAGTAAATGTGCCCAGTCCCACAAGGTCCTTGAATCTGGGAAATGGAAAATTCTACTCTGTTGAAGGGACAGAGGGGGCTTGAGTCTTGTTTTCAAGCCATGGCCTTCCCAGTGTCAAGGTGAAGGACATAGCTGCCAACTTCAAGTGACTGCAGAGTAATATTAGGTTCCATGCCAAAAATCATCTCCCTACTTGCCACCGTGGCTGGCTTGATGAGGTGGTTGGAGCTCTCGCTTATTGATCATTCTTTTGCTTTAAGGCTTTGACGATATCTGTAAAAATCAACTCTATTCCTGGAAATAGCTTTATTCTTCTAAATCTAATTATAATTCTGGTAGGGGCCCCACCTTAAACTGTGTGCAAGACTCTGTCCTGGTTCCTTGCCTGGTAACTCAGCCCCTAGGATGAAGTTCTGCTTTGCCTGCATCAGTCTCCCTCCTGGGCCCAGACGTTTCGAGGACTGGTCCTACCAGCAGCTTCCCCAGTGTGCCTGCCTGCCTGGTGTCTCGTAAAGTTCTGTGGCCTGGCTTCCCTCCTGATGTGCCCCTCCACCTTACTACTACCTGCCCCTCTGTGTACTTGAGGTCTTCTTTCTTTGACTTCTCTGATGCCGAGGCCATGCTGGACCACACCTCGCTGGCCCTTGCCTAGACCCTTTGGGTATAGCCTTCTCCCTATCAGCCCAAACTCCTTTCTGGGTCTGCAGCTAGCTTGAGCAGCCCCACCTCTCCTCCCCCACCCCCACCCCAGGGAATGGGCCAAGCATAGAAGGCCCCAAGTGTGTTAGAAGAATTCATACTGGTGGAAATGATAGTTGCAACATCAAGCAGGCCCTTTTCCAACTTAACATCTGATATGTACTTGTTTTAATCCAGACCTTTTATAAATGCTCTTGCTTCCTTGAGCGAAAAGGTTTCTGTCCCTGGAAATTTTGCAGAAAAAGGCATGTGGATTTGCAACAGTTCAAAACTGTTAGGGCAGACTGAGATGAGGGACAGCTGTATTCTGGGGCTTCCTGGAAGGAATCTGGATTCTCCTGCCTGGATTCTTCCCCTGCTTACAGAGGCTGGCTTCACATCTGTCAGATCTGTTCCAATTACCTCTTCAAAAAGGACTTTCCACTCATCCTGTTTGCAGAAAGGCCTTCCCTCCCTTGTAATTATGTGATTAATTACATGGGAGGCCCTTCCCATTAGACAGTAAGCTAGAAAAGGCAGGAGCTATGACTGGTTTATAAAATTCTATTCCTAAAGCCTAATCCCTAGCTCAAAATGGCTGCTCAATAAATATTTGTTGAATGAAAATTTTTCTCTTTTTCCCTCGAGATAATGATAAAAATCTACACATCTCTGATTATAGTCAGGTCGCTAACAACAAGAAAAAAACACAAACCTTATTCTATTTATTTTTTATTTGAAAATTCTTTTTATTGTCAAGAGTTTATACATGGACTGACTTTGGGGGCTTCCAGCATCTCTCAGGTTCTCCTGGGAAATGGTGGATTATTTTTTTTTGTATATCCTTTTATTGGTACATTTTAGATGTACAATATAATGACATTCATCATTGGAAATTTGCACCTTTACACACTCTCTTGGTTCTTATTTTTCCCCCTTCCCCTGTCCTCCCTTGAACCCCTCCATCCCTTCCTATTTACAAAGACTTTGTTTCCATTTTTTCATTTTCTCATGTTAATTCCGTTCCCTTCTTTCCTTTCCCCTACCCCCCCACTTACCCCTCCCCTTTGCCCCTTTTCTTCCAATTTCACATTATCTGTTATACCTTTTAGTCCTTATTTACACTTTCGGTTTCTCACACTAGAGAAACTATTTGGTATTTACACATGTGTGTCCTGTTTATTTCACTTAAGAGTATCACCTCAATGTGTATCCGTTTAGCAATAAATGTCTCTAATTTCTCATTTTTGATGGCTGAGTAGTACTCCATTTTATTAAAAAACACACACACACACATTTTCTTGATCCATTCTCCAGTTGATGGGCATTTGGGCTGTTTCCAAGCTTTAGCTATTACAAACTGTGCTGCTATGAATATGGGTGCACATATATCGCTGTGGTATGATTCTTTTAACTCTTTGGGGAAGATCCCCAGCAGGGGAATAGCGGGGTCAAATGGGACCTCTAGTCCTAGTTCTTTGAGGTATCTCCATACTGATTTCCCCAGTGCTTGCACCAGTCCACACTCCCATGGTGGATTATTTTTGAGAGCCTCTTCATTTCTCACCTTTTTCCTCATTTACACATCATGAAAACAGTGCTTCAAACAACCTTCAAGGTGTCTAGTACTCAAGTTTATCTCTCTGCTATCAAAATTTGATGTTAGAGAAAAATCCAAAATTCATTCTTCATAGTTTTCTCAGCATTTAACCACTTAAAAGTCTTTAGCCATTCCTAGTGGTAGAAATTCTGGTCTTATCTAGCACTAGAAGAAGAAAATGAAGAGTAGAATCCTGAAGGGGCCTGAAATTCAGTGCCCACTGTGTTACCAACAAGCTTATGATCTTAAAGATGAACATTTGATGTGGGGGAGGAAAGAGAGTAGAAATGCACAAGGCTGAAATCTTGCTATAAAATGAGTTCTTTGGGCTTTTGCAGTCTGAGCATAATACAGTATAAACTATTAAATGTTGTACCTATGTTTATAAAACTAGGAGATGTACTATTCACTTTTTTTATAGGAGAAAAAATGAGTACTAGATCTTTTTTACAGTTGAACCCCCCTGGGCTGAGCACCTTACCCTTGGACAGATGCCAGGTGCACACCAGAATCTCAACCTAGATGCCCTAAAATGTATTCAGTGATTTTCCCGAAAGACCTCTTCAAAAGAGCTTTCCTGGCCTGCTAAACTCTTCCGTTGTTTTTTGTTTAAGCCTGTGTTTCTTTCTTTTAAAAATGGTTCCTCCTTATTGGTAAAGGGCTAGGTGGTTTGCTTGACCCTTGTTTGGAGCAAGAATCATTTCTCCTCTTTCAAAGAGATGTGATTCCAATCAGAGAGGCTGGGAAAAAGGTGTCCACTGTTGGAGAACCTTCCTGGATCTCCGCTTTCCAGGTCTACAAAGTGGGGACCCTTAGACCTCCTTCACAGAGTCATCCTTGAGCTCTCCATCTCGTCAAGCCTTAGCCATGCATTCAGGTCCAGGTCAGCCCTTTCCTTTTCCATTTCTATTACTTCCTGGAGCCTTATGGTTCTAAGAATTGGTAATAAGTTCATTTCCATTCAATTCTATTTTAATTGTTTCCTTTCATTGTGCTAATTTGATCACTTTAGATGAATCAAATTATGAATTTCAAAAGGGGAAGTTCTAGAATCATCCCTCAACATCCCAGGTTTTCAAATACTGTGCATTCAAAGTGATAGCAAAAACAATAAAGATAATAACAATTGCCATTTAGCGACAGACTCTTATACTCCAAGTACTTTCCTGAACTCTTTTTTTTTTTAGGTTTTTTGAGACAAGGTCTTATATGTACTTTAGGCTGGCCCTGAACTCATTATGTAGCCCAGGCTGGCCTTGAACTCACAGAGATCCTCCTGCCTCAGCCTCCCAAGTGCTGGGATTACAGGTGTGCACCACCACACCTGGTTTGAATTCTTTATAAACAGTTTCTCATTTAACAAGCCTATGAGGCCCAAATTACAGATGAGAAACAAAGTCTCAGATATTAAGTCGCTTGCTGGTGACAAGATATAAATCAACATCCTGAATTTTAACACCTGCATGTATGATTCCAAAGCTCCACGCTCCCCCACCACATCTGTAATGCTTCTCTTATAGTCACAGCATCAAAGTCACACAACAGAGAGATAAATGTGGAGACAGGTTTTATTAAGACAGATTACACATGTTATTTCATTTTTTTCCTTCCTGAAAACCTTACCATCAAGGACTGATCTCATAGAACTTTGAATTAAAAAACAATCATCTCACAAAACACATTGCAGAGATGGAATAAGAGAGGATCATAATGCCAGTGCCAGATAATAAATGTGTTCCCTCCAGGGACCTGGGATGACCAGTCTTTCCGAAATGGTCTTTCAGCCGGTGCTTTTCCTATCTCTTCTCTCAAATCCGTCCCTCTACCCACTGACAGCATCTGAATAGTTGCAGAGTCAGCCAGAAATGAGCAGGTAGGGGAAAGCTGAGTCTGCTTTAAACTTTTATCCTCCTCTGTCCCAACCTTTCATGTCTATCTGTTTAGGCGAATAACACTAAGACAATGAGGCTTGGGCCCTCTGCCAGGCAACTGGAAGACACAGGTTCTCTACAGTTTCCTTTCCCCCCTCCCCTTCACCAGCACACACACACACACACACACACACACACACACACACGCACCTTTACATGAAATAATGTCTTGGTATTCTCAATATCCAATTCTTAGCATCCTTTCCCTGATTCACAATGGCGGCCCCCCAACCCATTACGGATCCACTCAGTAGAGACACCAAGCCAGTCCATAGGGAAGGCAGGGCTTTTCTGCAGCCTCTACTTGGCAGTCTCATTAAGGGAATTGGGGAGATGTAGAAGTCTCTGTGCACTTTAAGTGAGGGTCTTGATAAGATTCCCCTACTGCTTCCATGTCCCTGCTGATGCCTCCAGGGAAAGAGAGATCTGGAAACCTCAATAGCTGTCATCCTACCTCCTCTTGATATTCTAAGTTGGCAGTCAATAAGGGAAATAGGAGAGGGTCGGGGATTTAGCTCAGTGGTTTCGTCGCTTGCCTCACAAGCGCAAGGACCTGAGTTTGATCCCTGGTACCAAAAAGAAAAAAAGCAAGAAAGAAAAAAAGAAATAGGAGAAAATAGTTTTCCAGTGTCTTTTTCCCCTAAAGGGAATCTGAAAAGACAATGTTCTTTTTTTAATAAGTCCTGGGAATCCACTGCTCTCAGTGGCTGGTGGTGTGTTCAGGATCTGAGAGAGGACAGTGACTTTGTGGGCATTCCTGTTGATAAGGTGGTCTTTACAGGAACATGAGATGAAGAGCCAAGTGAAGAAGTTCAAGGATGGCTTCTATCATTGGGCTGAACTGTAAGACACGGTTCAGGAGGCACAGGATGAGAGGTGGTGGCAGTTTGTGCATACAGCGACTCTCTGGAGGAGCTGGCGCCCTCATGGGCTGGTTGTATATCCTGGCAGAAGGAAAGGCTGCAGCATCACCAAGATGGGACGTTTGCCTGAGATACATGCCAAGGCACTTGTAAAATTGAAGCTAGTCAAGTTCCAAGCATCTCCTTTTAAGACTGTGTGGAGTAGAGGGTAGCCAACAGCAGCCAAAGGCCACCTCACCACCACTACAAGGTATGACTCAACAGAGAAAACAACAGATTCAAGAGCACGGAGAATCAAGTTATTTGACGGGTGCTCTCTCTTGGCTGAGGATTTTGAGTTCTGCCTGGGGGCTGGGGATGGGTGATGAGGTCAAGAGAGCCACAGGAACTTGGGAACTTACCGGGTACGTTGCTGGTGTTCTATTCTTATGGCTATCCTTCTCCGGACTAATTTTTCCACAGTTCCCTTTCCTTTCCCTACCCTATTCAACGCATAGTCTGAAAGACTTTGCTGAGTATTCTGGTAAAAGATGAGGAGGGGACAATAGCCTGCTGGGCAGCCATCATGACTAAACTCTCAAGAATACTGGTTATACCTTCTAGAATTAATATGCAATGCAAATGAGACTCACAGCCCAAAAGGAGCAGAGCAGTGATGAGAATGAGAATATGGGATCAGAAAGGATGTATCGTCCCTCTCTGAGCCCCCTTTCTCCAACTTGGCCCTGGTTCTCCCATGTTGGAGGTTCACACTGATAGGTCATCTGACCTAGCCTTGCTGCTGGTCTTGCTAAGACGACGCTTTTCACTGTGGCAGCCATGGGGAAGGCAGTGACCTGACGAGACTCCATGGGGCACATCAGGCTTCTCACCATAGTGGATATGGATGAAACCCTCCCCAGGAATCCGCTCGTGGCCTTGCACTTGCTCAGTGGCCATGTTGTCTGTGTTCTGCTGAGAGGCCATATTGTTCTTGAGGGGACTAAAGAACTTTCCCCTCGGGCCATTCTCCAGGCACTGAGTGAAGTCAGGGGGAAGTGTGCAGCTCTGGACTGCGCACCCAGAGGGGCCAGGAAGTTGACATTTAGCCATGCTCTGCCTCGACTGGATAAATCGCTGTTTGATCTTCCAACCCAGGTGGAAGAGTTCAACCAGACTGAGGAAGAGGGACAGCCCGGCCACAGCCAGCATGAAGACGATGAAGACATTCTTCTCTGTGGGCCGGGACACGTAACAGTTGACGGGGTGGGGGCAGGGACTTCTGCGGCAGACGTGCAGGGTGTTCAGGAAAATTCCATAGAGGAAGTACTGGCCCACAATGAAGGCCACCTCCATGGTGGTGCGGATCAGGATGGTGCAGACATAGGTGTTGAGCAGATTGCCCTGGAGGACAACTTTTCCATTCATTTCCTCCCAACAGGACAGCTCTGGTTTCTCAGCCACCTGGTATTCATAAGAACCAGGGCGGTGGATCTCTTTGGCTCTCTCGGCTTCCCGTAGCCTCCGCTTCTCTTGCATGCGCACGGTGTGCATGGCGTGGCCCATGTACACCAGGGATGGCGTGGAGACGAAGATGATCTGCAGCACCCAGTAGCGAATGTGGGATATGGGGAAGGCTTGGTCATAGCAAACATTCTCGCAGCCAGGTTGAATGGTATCACATTGGAAATCAGCCTGCTCATCTCCCCAGGAAGACTCGGCAGCTGTGCCCAACACGAGCATGCGGAATATGAACAGGACAGTGAGCCAGACCTTGCCGATTATGGTGGAGTGCTTGTGTACTTCCTCCAGGAACGCTCCCAGGAAGCTCCAGTCACTCATCTTGGCACAGGCAGGAAACTGACACCAAGACTTCTGCAAACAGGGGAGAGAGAAAGAGGAGTTTCTCCAAAGGTCTGGAAGGTCCTATCATGCTGCGAGCATCCATCCGTACAGACATGTTGTTTAAGAAAGTGCGACTTAGAAGTCAAATCCACTCAAAAGGCTTCCCCTAACCACCACCACCCCAGAAAAATAAAAAGGGGATTTGAAGCCAAATAGAGCATGGATCCCACACTAATAGATTTAGAACCCAACTGGGGTGTGTTACAATTTGGATTCTATGCTTTCACTTGAGATTCTACTTCAGGAAGTGGGGGGGGTCTCCAAGAATCTGGGTTTGCGACAGGCAGTCCCGATGCTTCTGGTGCAGACAGCGCAGGAGTGCGACTGGAGAAGCACTGGAGCAGTGGAAAGAAACACAGGATTGGAGTGTGCAAACGTGGCCCTGAGCACGTGCTTCATTATTTCCTCATCAGTCAGGTGGGTGTGGGAAGGAATACCTACACCAGAGGTTGTGGAGAACTGAAGGAGATGAAGTATGTGATATGCTGGATATTGTATCGCAAGTGTTTCATATGTTTGAATGGCTGTTGGGTGAAAAAGAAATTTTTAATGGCTCCATGGGATACAACTAACTAGGTGGAAGAGAAAACGGTGAAGATGGGAGTGGCCAATTTGGCTTGAGGAAGCACCGTGTCATGATCAGAGTTGTCCAACATGGACCGGCTGTATTGAAAGGTAGTAAACAAAAGAATGCTTCAGGCACTCTAAAGGTATCACAGATGAGTGTTGGCTTCCCCCAGCTGGTAAGCCACAGGCAAAGTTGATCTTCCTGCTTCCGTACAACATAGCCCTTCCAAACATGCAGCCTGGCTCTAAACTTTCTGCCTATAGAAGATGCCCAGGGTTCCTTTTGTTCAATCATGCCAAGTCCTGACAGATTCCCAAAGGCTCCTCTCACTATCTCTTAGCTGCCCTCTCACTCCTAGGTGAATCCCATTTACCTTTCAAAACTTAACTCAGTCATTGTTTTCTGTAGTTCTCCTTCCTCTCTCTTCAGCTACTGCAGTGACACTCGGAGTGTTCATTCACTCCTCCCAGTACTTTCCACCGTGCTTTGTAATCCTCTGCCTGTCTGTGTTCTTCCAGCAGGGGCTTTTTGAAAAAAGAGACTATCTTTTCCTTTGTCATCAGAGGCCCAGAGTAGGTGATCAGCAAATCTTGGTTGAGTGAAGGGAGGGGAAGAAACACTGACATTTCTGATACAATGGCCAACCAATTCCCTGTTCCCTGACTGCCTCCTAGTAGCAGAGTGAAACGGCCAGATAGCACTTTCTCCAGTGTCTAATGCACTTGGTTCAGGTTACTCAGGTATGGGAGGAATCTAGTCTAAGGAGTAGTGATCAAGAAAAGTTTTCCCCATCTCCCAGTAAACAGGGATCCTCACTCATTGTCTTCCTCTCTCCCCCTTCCCCACTGCTTCCTGCTTGTGGACAGGATTGTGTAAGCCACGATGTCTGAAGCTTTCCAAAGAATCTCAGAAATGCTGACCAGTTCCTCTGAGGCCTCTGAATCAACTCTTGAATCTCCTACCTCCAAAATTCTTACTTGGTGATCAATATATGTCTTCACAGTTTAAAACCCCTAACCAATCCTAATCAACAAGATGACAAAAAGGAGAGAGCTGAACCTCAATATTCTCTTCTTAGAATAATAAAACATCATATTTGGGTGGGACATTAGAGGTTGTCAAGTTCAAGCTTTGACCTTTATATGTATACCACCAACATGCCCTTGTTCTTATTGGTACCTTGTTTATGCTAATAGAAAGAAAGGGGGAGGGGCAGGGGAAAGGAAAGAAGGGAAAGGAAAAATGATGAGAAATGGAAAAAATGGAAATAAAGTCTTTGTAAATAGGGAAGGGTGGAGGGCGTGAAGGGAGGGCTAGGAATTGGGAAAAAATAAGAACCAAGATGCATTATGTAAAGGTACAATTCCCAATGAGAAATGTAATTGTGTTGTATACCTACAATGTACCAATAAAAGAATTTAATACAAAAAAAAAAAAGGGTAGGGATGTTGCATTTTATAGTCCAGGCTTCTTAAGCTCCTGAGTTAACTCTTTGGCAGAGACCACCTCCTTGTCTGATCTTTCCCAGTCCCCAGTACCCCATACTTGAGCATATACATAATCACTGAGAATGAGGAATGCCCTAAGTGGGCGGAAAGTGTTCTATCTCCACTCCTTTCCATATCAAAGACCCATCCAGGTCTTGAGGCCTTTCCTCTAGTTTGTGATTAAACATCTTCTTCTTTACTAAAGGTGATGAGAATCCCCCTCCTTTAGCCTCCAAATGTGAAAACTTGAGCATTTGCTCTCAAGGAAAATGGATGATAAGAATTTGAATGGTCTGTCAGCTCCTCTGGGTATGATGTACAATGCTCAGCACCTTCAGGGTCAGCCACAGACCTGCAGTGACTATGTTAAGTGTCTAAGAGAAGGAAAGGAGAGGAGAAGGAGTACAGGGAGACAAGAGAATCAGAAAAGGGGAATGACAAGAGGAAGTTGAAAATGGAGTAAAGGAAACCATGTAATGATTTAAACAAGATGGGCTTAGGAGTTCAGTAACTGGAGTTCAAATCCCTGCTACTGTCTACTGAGCTTGTATAAACTGTTCAATCTGTGTTTCACTTCCCTCATCTGCAAACTGGATAGAGATATGATTATTTAGCTTATACAGTGCTATGAGGTGATACATAAGAAGCAGAGGCACAGGGCTAACCCTATCGGAACTGAATAAAAGGCAGCCATTACTAGCGAAGAACGTGATAGGAAAGGATGACAGTAGAATGAGAGAGAAAAGAGCAGAAGGTAGTACACAAAACAGAATTAAGGAGGAGGAGAAGGGAAGGAATTGAAGAAAATGGAAGTGGAAATTAGAAGGAAGCAAAAATAAATAAATGTTATATTCTTCCAAGATTTGGAACAGGTTTTCCACACTCACTCATTGAAGACATTTCCCTTGATCATCTCACTGTCATTCATTCCTTGCAAGTCCCCAAGGAAGTATAAAAGTAGTTCCAGACAAAAAATGTGACTTTGGTCTGGTCTGCCAAGAGTCTTGCCTGCTGACTCCCTTGCCTGTGGTCAAGGAATCTCACCTAGAAGAAGTAAAGCTCAAGTTCAAGAAAGGAACATCTTGGAAACCAGAAAGACAGTAGTAGGAAGGATTTCTCACCTGGTGGGAGCAATAGAAATTAGCTTAGGGGGGGTCTAAGGGTAAGACAGACTTTCAGAGACCCTGGCAGAGGAAGTAGGGTAAAAGATCTTTCATTTATGGTTTCCTGCTGACCCTCAGGCAAAGTCATGAAAAGTTAAAATTGGTACTATGTACCAGATACTCAGTTGATAATGTAAAAGGTTCATGGCTAAAGCCAGTTTTCTAAATATATTGGCTCTCCATAGGCCCCTCAACTTCAGCCAAAGAAATTTGTAGTTGAGTGAGTTTACTGGGTGTATAGCACATAAAATTCTTTGTAGATTATTATCCATTACTTGGCAGGAAGTGTATTAGGGAGGGGCAAAGGAAGCTGCCATGGCCTGAATAAATTCTGCCAAATACAACGGTAATTTCTCTCACTGCTTTAGCTGTAATCTGATTGGCTTCCTACCACTTTCAAAGTTCAGACTTGAACCTGCCGTTTGAAACCTTCCCAAGCACTGTCTCACCCTATCTTTCCCACTATTTCCCTCACATAGTCAGTACTTCAGCTGTGCAGTTCCCCATATATATTCATCCACCCTACAATTTCTTCATTTTTTATTTAGGGTTCTTTATGTTCCCTCCACCTATAATGTCCTTCTTCCCTTTCACTCATTCATTTAATAGGTTTATTGGGTAGTTGCTAGGTTCCAGGCCTTGTGCTTACTACTGAAGATGCAGTAAGGAGAGAGAAAGAAAAACAAGGATTCTCTGCTCTTACCAAGTTTAACTGCCTTATTTCCATAATGTCAGTAAGGCCTGGTGTTGAGGAAGCACAAAGTGCTATGAGAGTGTGTGGTAAGGGCCTAAATCTGGTCTACTGGGTTCGAGGAGGATCTCATTAGACCAGGGCCCTCTGCAACTGAAACAGCAAAAAGAGATGATAGATCCTTTGCAAATGGGAAGGGAATCTAGTCACAGAGGGAGAGGGAAGGAAGGACAGGGGAAGGGGAATAAAAAGAATTAAGGTATGTTATATGTACGTATACCTACTCCCTAAGATGAGTGTGAACATTATATACTACAAATGTGTATTGTACTAATAAAAAAAAATACAGAAAGAGGTGGTCCTAGAGCCTGGAAGGAGACATACCAATTCTAAAGATTCTTCACTCCTACAGCTTCAACATCCTCTTTCAGTGTGTCATATCTTGGGACAAATTAAATATTGGAGGGGTCACTAGGGAACTTGTTTGGTGATAGTAATATGGTGCTTGGGTCAAAACAAAGGAGCCAGAGGAAGGGTTTTATATAGTGAATACAAATTCAGGCCTTGGCTTTATGAATTATGTGGCTAGAAATATAACTCAGGCGTCTACGTTCCCAGTCCAGTGCTCTTCCACATGCCTACCTCATCGTACCCATGCACAGCTAATATTTTCACAGAAAAGCATTTCAAAAAACAACCCAGATTAATTAACTCATAGCCACCAGCTCTTCCTCCAACCCCCTCAGATGCAGGATGAAATGGAGATGTTGACCTCAGCTCTTAGATGTTTCCTGGGCTCCAGAGGACAGTACCATCCAGCTTGTAGGGTGCATTCTCACAGTTGGTATATGTTGCCTTCAATTTATTCTCCAAAAGGTTTTGCAAGTTCTTTTTTGAATTTCTAGTACATACCTACCACTGTTCTGAGGACAGAGCTCTGAGTTCTGAAAACAATACCTCAGTGATGCTGGGCTTGACAAAAGCTAAACCCTCAATGGCATCTATGAATAAAATCTGCTGGGTGAGGTGGCACATGAGGCAAGAGGATTGCTGTGAGTTCA